GTTTCTGGCTCGTGTGCTTCCTCATTAACCCCCTGCAGGACAGCAAAGCTGTTCTGCGTGGGGACAACAGATTTAGGGGGAAGCCCCTTGCTTTTGGTTGTCCTTTTCCTCCTTTTTTTGTGTTCTTTTTTTTGTTTTGTTTTGTTTTGTTTTTTTTGTCACTAATTCCCAGCTTCCCAGGTTAACGGCCTCCTTCTTTCCTCCATGAGGTAGAGGGGAAGCTCGAGGCCCCTGCACAGTTTGGGCCAGGAGCAAGCATTCCTGCTTCCTCTCAGCTTCCCTGACATCTCGCAGTCTATTAACAGCATCCCGCAGTTCAGCCCCTGCTGCAGGAGGACCTCCACCAGGGAGCACCGAGTGCAGCCCTGCCCATTGTGCACCCTCCTCTCACCAGACCAGTGCAGGCACTCTCTACACTCCAAGCTCTGCACTGCAGCCTCGCCTCTCATCGGCTCTGTCTGGGTGCCTACGCTGGCCACCGCCGGGGCACTCGGAGCAGAGGTCCCAGACCGGGCCCTGCTCATACGCCGAGTGCTCACCATCCCCTCGCCTGCCCGCGCAAACTGCCTCGCCGCACTCCCTGGGGCAGGTTTTCTCCCACTCATGGCTGGTGCCGCTGCTCCTGGCTCCACCCCCTGTGAGTCAGCTGCTCGCTCTCGTCAGCTGAGCTGCCGGCTCCTGGGCAGGTCCTGTCGAGGACTTGAGGCTCCCTCGGTGGCTCCCGCCGCTCTGAGTTGAGGCCCCAAGTAAAACCAAGCTGGGACACCAAATGGGTATTTCTGGTTAGGCAGATGTCAGTGCTACAGCCATACGCATTTAGCTAGAGCTACACGCAAAAGAGCATGGTCAACCTATCCAAGGCATGCAGTATCAGTTGCTGAAATCAGATTTTGAAGCGGTCTCAAGTCTCAGACAGAAGACTTTGCCAGCATGCCAGCAGGTCAACTCTTTGAGATACTTGAGATACAAGTGAGATACTTCTGCTGAAGTCATTTTACTTCATGGAGAATAATTAGTATTAATGGAAATCATTTCAAAGCTTTTGATTTGCCATATTAGATTGAATAAAGAAGACTGACATTCACTTAAGACTCTTTCCATAGTTAAGTTTCAGCTGAAATAACTTATCTGGTTTAATCAATGCACTTCAAGAAAAGCATGAAGATATCGAGAGACTTCAAAAAACAGTGAGAACAATCAGAAATTTAGAAAATATGGCCTATGGGGAGATGCTAAAAAAAAATTAAGCTATTTAGGTCAGGAAAAAAGTGCATTAAAGGTAAAAACCTTCTTCAAATACGTGAGAAGTATCAAAAGTAAATTATTGCATATGGTTACTTTGGATAGAACATGTGGTTCAGAAATACTCAGGACTTTGGTGAGCTGTAAAGGAATATGCATCAGCTTCAGCTTCATACACTTACGTCTAAATGATGAAAACGCAGGCATTCACACACATCTAGGTAGCTAGGCTACCATCATATTCAGGAAAGCTTAGATAACTGTTCATTTTAGCTAAAATTTGACACACTCAGTCAGCTGCATAAGTCCCTGGACTTTACCAATTCTAGATTTTCACTAAGAGCAGCTCAGATGCTCAGCTCACATGCAAATATCTCCTTTTTATATACCTAAATGTACATCTGAAACTCAAGATGAACCCTCATGTAAGAATAATTCTGGAAGTGAGGATGGTGAAGTTCTGGAATAACTTGATTGTATATGTTGTCTTAGCCAGTAACAGCAGAGAGTCATTTATACAGAGTTGACCTTTGCTTGGGGCAAAGGCAAGGCTGTTCTGTAAAGCAGAATAGCCTAGCTCAATAAAACTTGAAATTATAGCTTCTTTACTGCTGTTAAACACCGCCTACAGCAAGCTCTGTGCACTGCTTCGTCTTCAGGAGCCACGCAGCATGTGGCAGAAATCAGAATTTTCTCTCTGTGCCACGTCTAAGCAGGCATAAACACAGAATGACACTAGATTTTCCATTCCTGGGACTGATTGTATTAACTAGGCAGCAACTCTCTGGGCAAAGGAAACAATTAGGTGAGGTTCCTTCCCACACTTGTCTCTAAAGGGCAGCAACTGCATCATGTGCAATTCTATTTGAGCAGAGTCCAGTTCCCGAATCAGGAAATCCTTAAGTTAATCTCTTGTAGATAAAGGCAGTAGAAAGACAAGGTTGTGGATCTTGGTAGGGTTTTGGCACATACTCATTAACAAACTGTTCAATACTGTTGGGTTTATTCTTTAATTAATTCATCCACCACAGTTATGTGTGTTCTGCACATCTTCATACTATTAACTTTAAATTGTCCTTATGCAACCTGCTGCCTATACTACATTGCACATCCACTTCCGTGTTCAAACACAAACTATATGAATCTTATTTTCATTTTGTGAAGTCTAAAATCAGTCATGTCACCTTGTAGGACTACAGTTCAATGCCCAGAGAATAGGGACACAGCAGACACCATCTTGAAATGTGAATTTCACCTCATCTAACTTGAGAAACTTAGACTAAGAAATCCATTTGGCTTCACCTGTCATTAGTCAAGTGAGATAGGTCTCTGGCATCCACACTGAATGTCTAAGACAGTAGGATGAATGCTACCAGCACTGCTTTCTGCAAGTGGAACACAAGACTTAGTAAATGTTGGGAAACAATTTTTCACTGAGAATGTGCAAGTGCGCACATCAAACATACAATCACAAATTAAAAAGTTTGCCAATGAGTTTGGTGAAAACATCCTCTATGCACTAACTACAGACTGCTAGACAGAAGCACTCAGGTATTTTTGCTTTTGTACTGAATGCCAACCTGTGGTGAATGACTGACAACTGCGGATGGAATTATAGACACACAGATCTGTGTATTGTCTTGTTTATGCTTGTGAGTTCAGTCTGTTCATATAATTATCATATTACTGCATGCTAAACACAGTAGTGTAACTTCCCCATATGAATAGGTGTTGAAATTCAGAAAAGTGTCTCTACATACACTGACATTAATACTGTCCTCTGTTCTGTAGTGTTATAGTGCATCACATGATTTAGACAAAAAACGAAATAATAACAAGTTGTTTTTCCGTGCTGTCTTCAATTTCAACTGACTGAATGGATTTTAATTAATCTTTCTAAAGATGATTTGGCTAAAGACACTATCTTTTCCTTGGTTAACTTTCAAAATATACTATAATCAGTTACATATGGAAACATACACCAAATCCCAGTTCATTAACTGAATTTGTGCAGAATATCTGCAGTTCAGCAAAATATAGCCTATTGGTTTTACTTCTAAGCTGCTTTGTAAAAAAACCTGTAGATAAATGGATTAAAATAACATTAAATATTGTAGCTAAGTTTCATAAATAGCAATTTCAACAGACATCAAAGCACATTTTTGAAAAAAGTGATTTGGAATTACAAAGATATATTTTGCTTCTATACACTTAATTTAAACAGAATACCTCTATTAAAATTTTATTTTCTGTTTTTCTGGGGGGTGTTTCTCTTTGTTCTGAAAAGTTAATAAATGCACTGAATGAAGAAACAACACAAACACCTGAATTTTCACAGTAAAATATCCTGTTCTTAAATATATTTATGTTGCTCAAAATGCATTGGTTTGATAGTATTAGAGTAAATTAGGGCTAAATACCCTTTACAAAAAAAAAGAAAAAAGGCTTCAACATGTAGTATATAATTGCTGGTACAATTAGCACTGGGTTTTTTTTCAAATTATCATAGGCTTAGTCTATCAGCTGGACAGTAAACAAGGCTCTGCCATCTCGATCTACTGTCCAGTCTAGTTAAATCATTTTCTAGAAACAACCTGGCCTGAAGGTCAGGAAGGACATTCATTCCAGGACTCTAAGTGGGCTAATTGAAACTAACTCTGAAGAAGAAAGAACCTCTGTTAATTTGGTATGTATGGGTGAGTGCACATCAATACCACAAAGGGCTCCATTATTGCTGTATCAAAGTAAATAGCTGAAAAAAAATGAGTCAGGGAGATGAATGATGAGTTAAGTGTTAAGCAGACACTGAGTGCAAACAGTAAGTAGCACACAGTTGCTCTCAGAAGGAATGTGGCTTCTGTTAACTCTTTAATTTCTGCTAACTCCTTTAATTCCCTCTGTGCTAGATTCGGTTTTCTGCAAATCTTTTTTGCCTTGCTGGTCTTTTATTACCCAATTCAAGGAGATTTTGTGAAACCTTTTAATAGATTAATTTAGCTTTTGGGTTCTGGAAAAGCTTTCCCACTTTAAATCCCATCTTAAATAATAATTTTGCATTTGAGAAATTATATTAATTGCCAGAGGAAAAGATTGCTTCAACCAAAACCAGTTTAGGCTTTGAATCATGTTTACAGATGAACATGGGGCAAGAATTGTGCCACCAGGAGTGCTTGGGAAAGTTTTGAGTCCTGGCAAAAAGGAAATCCTCACAACTTCCACCTGAACCACCTTCTTGACTACCACTTTCATGACTAGGTGAAATACAGCAGAAAGCATTTATGTCCAAGAAGTACAAGGATTACAATGGTTCCTGACATTGCACTGATTTTTGTTTTATTTTATTCCAAAGTGCTCAATAATGATGGGCCAAGCATAATCTAGTTCTTGTGACTTTTCTAGATCAGAAAACTAAGATAATAAAAACTCAAGCTAGAACTTGCAGACTCACATTTTCCAAGTCTACTACAGTGAAGGTAAAACAGTTGCGCACCTTGTCAAGACAAACTTCCATAGAACTGATTGAAAATTATTACATGATGGTTGTCCAGTGTTATTGCATGTGCCCTAGCACATTTAAACACTGTCTAGTTCAGTTACAGAAGCTAAATATTCTAAAATTCATATGTGAAGATCATCAACATTGGCAGTTCTAAAACAGCTGACTTCTGAAAAAGCAGCAAAATAATAAATTATCTCTGAGCAGGTGTATAACTTTGAGAATATCATTGATCTTTAAATGAAAAAAAGGTAAATCTCACCTGTTTGGATTTTCATAAAATACATAATATGGGACCTGAAAATCATTAAATAATGAAAGAAACACAAATTGAGTGAAGACTAGAATAAAGGGACTTTTGTGAAAGAAATATAAAAGGAGTGAAGGGTAGCATATAGGGACATTATTTATAAGAACCGAGATAAAATACTTATCACTGAAAGTCTTGAAGATCTATTTTTAGAACTTAGCATGCTAAATGTTATCACTATTTATCTTTGCAAAAAAAGGGAAATGTACTTATGAAATACACTGATAACCTACAGTGTAATTAGGGAATACAGTTAAGTGTCATCCGAGAGAAACCAGATGTTGAAAACTAATATAATAAAACTGTAAGAAGTTTATTGGTGTGCATAAGGGACTAGAGATAAAACTTCTGTGTTAAGTAGGGAATTCAGTCAGGTGCAAAAGCAGAAGCAAAAGCAGACCTGAGTGCATCAATTAATGGATGATGAAAGCAGCCATGAAAAAAGACAATTTTTGCTATAATGCATCAGGCTAAGTATTTCTATTCATAACAAGAAAACAATGGTGCAATTTTGCAAGGGATAAATAAAAAATAATATGGCAAATGTTGCTGTACATATCTGATCACAAATACTGAAGAAACTTAATTAAAAGTGATTTAAAAAGGGCTACTGAGATAAAACACATAATGGAAAAACCTGTGATACAAGAAAGAGTAGAAGAGCTTCATTTCTTGAGTCTAGGCAGATAAAGGGTCTGTGACTACCTTCTTGAAGCAGTCAGGATGTGATATGCAGGTTAATACAGGAAAAGAGCGGAAGAATGCATTACATAAGGCAGTTAAGTATAAAGAAAGAAGCAACAGAAGCTTATACAAGCAATAATAAAAAAAAATCCTTTTAAAGCTTTAACTTATATAATAATTAATAAACATTTGAAAATATTTATTAGAAAAAAAAAAACAACCAAAAACAGTTGTCCTGGGTTCAGCAGTAGCAGTCATTTTTCTCCTTCTTGGTAGGTGGTGCAGTGCAGTGTTTTGACTTTCAGCCTAGGAACAGAGCTGATAACGATGTTTTGGTTTGGCCAAGGACTTTGTGAGCCTCATGCTCTGCCAGGGAGGAGGGGAAATCGGGAGGAAGCAGAGACAGGACACCTGACCCAAACTGACCAAAGAGGTATTCCATACCACAGCACATCATGCCCAGGAGGTAACTGGGGGACTGCAGGGTTGGAGGAGGTATCGGTCAGAGCTTGGTCGGGCTGGGGGGGCGAGTTATCGGTTGGCTGGTGGTGAGATGTTGTATTCTCTTCCCTTGTTATTTCCTTTATCATTATTATTATTGGTGGTAGCAGCAGTGATTTGTGTTATACCTTAGTTACTAAACTGTTCTTATCTCAACCCGTGGGAGTTGCATTCTTTTCGATTCTCCTCTCTGTCCCTCTGGGAGTAGGGGGAGGGAAAGAAGGGGGGGAGTGAGTGAACAAGTTACCTGACTGGGTTTAAACCACTGCAACAGTCCAAAGAGTCTCCAAGATGATCCTTTTCAAATAATCCAAAATTGTGCTGTATGGATATACAATTTCTGTCTTTAAGTCCTGGATTTCAGATAAAGTAAAGGGTCATCAAAAGTGTCTGTTAACAGATAAGGTGGTCTCAGAGGTACAGTATCCCTTAGGTTACAGATAGCAAAAGTGAAGAGAAACAGATTGCAACAAGTAATACCTTACATACCTTAAGAAGCAATCTACAAATTACAGCTGGATGCACTGATATGCAGTGTTAACACCTCCAGGCAGCTTACAGGTACATCAGAGCTCTGTTTATATAGTTTTATTCAGTCTTTTCAGTTGTTTCCTTTCAGTGCTCTGCTTCAATATCAGAAAGCGATCTATGACAGTTGCTTTGTATTAGACAAATCACTGAATCACAGAAAAATTCCACTTGGAAGGGACCTAAGAAGGTCTCTAAACCAGCCTCATGCTCAAAGCAAAGTTACCTCTGCGATCAGACTTGGTTGCTCAGAGCTTTATCCAAGTTCATGTTGGAAAATGTCCAAGGAAGGAAACTGCAGAACCTCTTTGGGCAACCTGCCCACTGCTTGGCTGTTCTCATGGTGAAAAAGTTTCTCCTTATCTCCAGTCCAAACCTCTCTTATTTCAGCCTATGCCTGATGCCTCTTGTCTCCTGCCACGCACTGTTGAATGAACAGCCTTTCTCCTTCTGCTCAGTCACCAATCTGTAGACTCTGAGGCTGCTGATAGGCTTCCCCAAAGGCACGTTCACTCAAGGCTGTGTAAGCTCTGCTCCTCAGCCTCTTCTCACAGCCCAAGTACTCCAGCCCACCCTGACCACCTTGGTGGCCCTTCACTGAAGTCACTCCAGTTTACCAAGGGCTTTCTAGTATACAGAGATCAAAATACAATGCAGTTTTCCAGATATGGTTTAATGAACGCTGAGCAGAGGGCACCATCACTTGCTCCTGATCTTCTGGTTCTGCGTCTGCTAACAGCCCAGGGCACTTTTGACTTTCCTGCTGCCAGACCTCACTGTTGGCTCAGGTTCAATTCACTTCCCACCAGGATCCCCAGGGTTTCTTCAACAGAGGTGCCCCTGGGCAGACAGCCTCCCACCTGTTATCATTGCCAGGGACTCTTCCACATGCATAACTTGGCTTTTGTCCTTACTGAATTTTGTGAGGCTCACATCAGCCCTCCAGCCTCTCTACCTCCATCTGAATGGCAGCCTTGCCCTTCAGGCTTATCAGCTGTCACACTGCTATTTAATGCCATCTCCAAACCTAAGGAGCAAGCACCCATCAGCTCCTCCAAATCATGGATAAAGATATTAAATAATACAAGTCCCAGCACACACCACTGTGGACTCCATTTTTTTCCCCAGTCTCCTGACAGAGTGTCGTGGTTTAAACCCAGTCAGGTAATTCGTTCGCTCACTTCCCCCCCTTTCTTGCCCTCCCCCCGCTCTCGGAGGGACGGAGAGGAGAATCAAAAGAATGCAACTCCCATGGGTTGAGATAAGAACAGTTTAGTAACTAAGGTATAACACAAATCACTACTGCTACCACCAATGATAATAATGATAAAGGAAATAACAAGGGAAGAGAATACAACACCTCAGCACCAGCTGACCGATAACTCGCCCCCCCAAGCCCAACCAAGCTCCGACCGATACCTCCTCCAACCCTGCAGTCTCCCAGCCCTTCCGGCTAACTCCCAGTTACCTCCTGGGCATGACGTGCTGTGGTATGGAATACCTCTTTGGTCAGTTTGGGTCAGGTGTCCTGTCTCTGCTTCCTCCTGGCTTCCCCTCCTCCCTGTCAGAGCATGAGGCTCACAAAGTCCTTGGCCAAACCAAAACATTTCTATCAGCTCTCTTCCCGAGCTGAAAGTCAAAACACTGCACTGCACCAGCTACCAAGGAGGAGAAACATGACTGCTACTGCTGAACCCAGGACATTATCCACCCCTTATTCCATACCATTCACGTCATGCTCAGATCCCACATTTTCAATATACCATCACTCTTATCTCGGTGCACTCTTATCTTAGTGCATGGACCAGTCCCTATAAAGCTGCTGCGTCCATCTGGTCCATGTCAGGCTCCATCTCTTGTAACAGTCTTCCAGAGCAGGAGAGACTGTGTGCAGTGTTCACACTCATGAATAACCTGGGCAATAGTGTCCATTGTTAAGTCCACCCCTCGATCATGAGTCCATCTCTGTGTTGCATCTCTGCTCTGATGGCCTGAAGTGCCATGGGCCCACCAGGCTTAAAATAATTCACTGTCCCCTTCAGCAGTTTCTGCAGCTTGTTGCTGGGGACTCCATACAGCTGCCTTCCATCTCCGACGCTTCCAAAGCACTGGAGGGGCCCAGTGGACTAGATACTTGCCCATACTGTCCCACACACCCTGCCACTCATGACTCTCCAGCCTTGGGGAAAATCTCTTGGTCCCCCTATATTGTTGTCTAACCCCAGACAAGACCCAAACCTGACTCTGCTTAACTTTTGAGATAAGACAAAATGGTTGTGGGTAGAACACAGTCTGTGTGTGTGCCAACATGCTGATCCCCACCACAATCAGCAGGCAGGTCCCAAGGATACCCAAAGGCCATTCAGAGCCTTCAGAACTCTCAAACGATGCTGCTGTGCTTGTCACTGGGGCTGGTGTAGCTGCTGTGCTTGCCGGCTCTCCCACCACCGGCTTCTCTTTTCCTGAGTCCAGCTCTTCCTCCTCTGCCTTGCTGGGAAGTGCTGCGTGGTCTCCTGCATCCTCCTGAGGCTCGGCGGGTGGCTGCCGGGGAATGCTCTCGGCCGTCGCGGGGCTCGGCTCCTCCGCGGGGCTCGGCTCTTCCGCGGGGCTCGGCTCCTCCGCCGCCTTATCCCGCTGCTCGGCAGCCGCTTCCTTCTGCTCCTCGACCGCCCCGGCCTCCTCCACCGGCAGCCGTCCCCTGGCGGCCTCCGGCCCCGCTCCCGCCGCCGCTTGGTCCCCGGGGCCGCTCTCCCGGGCCGCTTCAGCAGCCGCCGCCTCCCGGGGCCGCTCCCCCTCGGCTCCCCGCAGCCTCACGAAGATGGAGAGTAGGGTGAGGGCCAGGACGGTGAAGAGCAGCCGGACGGCCAGGTACAAGTCCACGGCCACGTCCGTCCCGCCCTGCTGCTGGAGCCCACCCGTATTACAAGCCATTGCCATAAAGCACAGTGAGACAAGAACCTTAGCCCAGGCCCCACACTTGATAAACACTAACACAGCAAATACCGGCTCTACGTAAGTTACAACGGTCTGAAGCTGTGAGATCAAGAACAACTCTGATACCCAATAAATCAGCATTGTGACGAATGACTATTAATCCAGTCAAATCTGTCGTTATCTCAACCCTTCGTGCCCCACGTTGGGCGCCAAAAAGAACTGTCCTGGTTTAAACCCAGTCAGGTAATTCGTTCGCTCACTTCCCCCCCTTTCTTGCCCTCCCCCCGCTCTCGGAGGGACGGAGAGGAGAATCAAAAGAATGCAACTCCCATGGGTTGAG